CAACGCTAGAAACCAGGTTTCGATACCCGTGGTGGGCAGAGCACAGATAGCCCATTGTGTAGCTTTGTGCTTAATTACAAACAAACAAACAAAAAATAAAACACTGCGTTTCTGTAATATGCTTCTACCACCTTAGATGTCCTAGTAATGACGTTTGGTAATAAAACACTGCGTTTCTGTAATATGCTTCTACCACCTTAGATGTCCTAGTAATGTATTTATATAACTATTTGATATATGGATAGATCAGTTTGGTGTATTGATAGAACTGTATTGGTGTATTTATATAACTATTTGATATATGGATAGATCAGTTTGGTGTATTGATAGAACAGTTTGGTGTATTGATAGAACTGTATTGGTGTATTTATAGAATAGTCTTGGTGTATTGATAGAACTGTTTTGATGTATTGATAGAATAGTTTTGGGGTATTTAAAGAATAGTCTTGGTGTATTGATAGAACTGTATTGGTGTATTGATAGAACAGTTTTGGTGTATTGATAGAACTGTTTTGATGCATTTATAGAATAGTCTTGATGTATTGATAGAATAGTCTTGGTGTATTGATAGAATAGTTTTGGTGTATTTATAGAACTGTTTTGGTGTATTGACAGAATAGTTTTGGTGTATTGATAGAACTGTTTTGATGTATTGATAGAATAGTTTTGGTGTATTTAAAGAATAGTCTTGGTGTATTGATAGAACTGTTTTGATGTATTGATAGAATAGTCTTGGTGTATTGATAGAACTGTTTTGATGTATTGATAGAATAGTTTTGGTGAACTCATAAATATGTTTCAAACACCATCACGTGGACATTTTTTTATAATTTAAACAAGAGGTATTGAACAGAGAACCTGCTGTAGCCAATGTTTACACATTGTTTTAAAAGACACAAAAACCTGTATATCACTCATATTATATTAAGTTTCATAGATAACAGTTTTGGTGTATTTAAAACTTGTATATCACTCAGATTCTATTAAGTTTCATAGATAATAGTTTTGGTGTATTTAAAGCTTGTATATCACTCAGATTATATTAAGTTTCACAGATAATAGTGTTGGTGTATTTAAAGCTTGTATATCACTCAGATTATATTAAGTTTCATAGACAATAGTTTTGGTGTATTTCAAACTTGTATATTAAGTTTCATAAATAACAGTTTTGGTGTATTTCAAACTTGTATATCACTCATACTATACAGTATTAAGTTTCCTAGACAATAGTTTCGGAGTTTGCTACTGATTTTGGTTTGTTTATTTCGGATATTTGCACAGAGCTACACCAAGGATATCTGCACTAAGTCCCATAATTTTGAAGTAATAGACTAGAGGGAAGGCAGATAGTCAACAGCGCCCATCGTATCAATCATGTAGAACTGCTGCCTCAAATAACCATTCTTTTGTTTCTGTGTTCGGGGGGGGGGGGGGGTATTTCCTCAAATCGAAAGTTGGAAAGTTAAATAATAAAATGTGAAAATTATATACCAAACTAACGTATTTATAGAACTGTTTGGGTGTATTAATATAACATACTTGGTGTAATGATAGAACTGTTTTGGTGTATTTATATAACTATTTGATATATGGATAGAACAGTTTGGTGTATTGATAGAACAGTTTTGGTGTATTGGTGTATTTATATAACTATTTGATATATGGATAGAACAGCTTGGTGTATTGATAGAACTGTATTGATGTATTTATATAACTATTTGATATATGGATAGATCAGTTTGGTGTATTGATAGAACTGTATTGGCAATTTAATGATCATTGCCGCTATAATGCAAATTTAATTTATTTAATCAAGTTACGAACTGTAACTTCCCCGAAATGGGCCGAAGACCGCTTGAGGGAGTCATCCTGTTTTAACCAGTCACACCTCAATACAGTTGTGTATTGTCTGTCACTATACATTAAAATGACGTCACATAAGCGCCGCTTAATTTTGAAATTTGTACTGTGCTAGTGGTATGAATCACGAGAAGAGTTATGCACTCTGTAGGCCACAACACAGCATGACATATGAACTTCGAAAGCAAGAAATAAAAATACTTACTACTCTTAATTTTGATTTTAGTTTACTCTCGAAACAAAACACTTTCAGAAAATATGCGGAAGTACATTTAGCTAGTAGTCATACTTATTTACATGTTCTAATGTAAATTCAGGGGTCAAATTCCGCCGGTACTCAGTTCCGGAACTTATTTGAGCTGCTTTGTCGTTTTTTTATTTTTACACGTAGATTTTTTTTCTTTCTTTTTCAAAAACAGGTCCAATTCACCAAGCTGAGTACCACTACTTTGTTTTTTTTTTTTTAAGAATTTCATCCCCGTGTAAATCAATGCCAAATTTGGGGTCCGCTTTTGGGAAATACACGTGATTTCGCTAAAAATCTGGATTTGTGAAAATTTTTACCTTTGTGCAGATTCGGGGCCGAGACGATTCGTTTGGTACCGCTTATAAGTTGGTAAGACCAGCGATTTAGGAGAAGATATATAACACACGGACACTGAATCTTATTATATATATATATATATGCACCAAGTCTTTGTTATTCGATAAAGAACACTTTACTGTAGCGGGTAATATAACCAGTTTACACACTGCCAGTTTTTATTTTATTTGCAGCACGTTTTAATTTTTTAGTATTTTCTCGTGTCACATTTAGGTTTGACAATAAAATCTACAAAACTTGCATACTTCTAGACACACAGTAGAAAGGATCGCAGAACATGTAAAGATAATGAAAAAAAAATGTGTTCAAAATTGGTAAAACACACGTCTATAACAAAACTATTATTATTTGCAACGTTTTGGACAGAAGCCCTTCGTTAAGCAGTTCAAACCGCGTTACATAGAAAAAAGGCTTAGACAGAGAAGTATTAGTTATAGAAGTGATCACAGCTTCTGTTAATATCTCCTTGCCACCCCTCTTAACTGACACCACATACACATTTTCCTGATCATTATTATTAAATTACTATGTTATCATTTTTCGAATTTACGTTTATAATTTTTTATGTCTTTTTTTATTTCTAAAATCCAATTTCTGTCACATTAATACTGGTTTTCCATTTTAAAACTTTTTTTCGAACCCCTTTAACAATGGTCCTCCTAAAAATATTTTTTGTCAACGTGGTCCACGTAGTACGTACATACGTTATTTAGAATCTTTCTATATTCTAACCCTTCGACGATTCTGTCTAAGCCTTCTTTCTATGTAACACGGTTTAAACTGCATGACGAACGTTGCAAATAGTAATAAAGATTTTGTTACAGACGTGTTTTACCGATTTTTAACACCCTTTTTCATTACTTCCGGACACAGCGGTTTTTATTCACCCTTAGAGATAAAAAACGTCTTTATGGTTGAATTGTTTTCTTCCCAAATTAGCAGCTTGGTTACTTTTTCTATTGCTTTTAAGGCAGTTTCTTTTATAAATATTATATTTACAATCAGTTTTACTAATGTTGTAATTACATGTGTTTACGCTAAGAACTGAATTGTTTTTAGTCCTGGAAAATGACATCCACTTATATTTCAACATAGAAGAAAATTTTGAACTTTATAATTTATTACTAACTGTTGCAACATTGGAATGTTTTTTTACCATTGCATTGGTTTGCCCTTGAGGTTTCCCGCCACAAGTTTAACATCGTCGGTTAATACACTATGTTGAGCATAGATAGCGCTGTATCCAAGAAAAATGGCCTCAAGGTAAATTCCTGAAAATGGGACAGAGCATTTCCGCCCGCAACTCCTCAGGAAATACGTTGTAATGTTGAATCAGCAAAATGTTCGACAAGATATCTCGGTTTTATAGAAAGCTAGTCGAGTCAGAAAAACGTTGACCAAGAAATCTCGGTTTTATAGAAAGCTAGTCGAGTCAGAAAAACGTTGACCAAGAAATCTCGGTTTTATAGAAAGCTAGTCGAGTCAGAAAAACGTTGACCAAGAAATCTCGGTTTTATAGAAAGCTAGTCGAGTCAGAAAAACGTTGACCAAGAAATCTGGTTTTATAGAAAGCTAGTCGAGTCAGAAAAACGTTGACCAAGAAATCTCGGTTTTGTAGAAAGCTAGTCGAGTCAGAAAAACGTTGACCAAGAAATCTCGGTTTTGTAGAAAACCAGTTGAATCTGATGCACGTGTCATAGCTTCTAAATAGAAAACCAAAGTCTCATGAAATAATTCTATTCGTCAGCTTAACTAGATAGCCATTGTGTACGTTACAATGTAATTTCGCAGTCAATTTAGAATTAATTCTTAGATACTCCTCACAAACTCAGTAGTATGTTAATCATTTTTTTTTAATATTAAGCTAACTAGCTCAAGCTCTGGGCATCATCCTAACTTTTCAATACATTGAACTATAACTCAAAACAAGCTTCACGAAAAGCACTGGAACAATTAGTAAATGCCACGTTCCAGCCCAACAGCACTCACTATGGTTTTAACATCTTGTGACTAAAGACCCCATAACCTTCAGTCTACAGCCCACATTACAGTTTTAACCCCTTCTGACTAAAAACATCGTATATCTTCATGCTCCAGTCCTACAGGACACATTAGTTTTAACCCCTTCTGACTAAAAACATCATAGATCTTGATTCTCCAGTCCTACAGAACACATTACAGTTTTAACCCCTTCTGACTAAAAACATCGTACATCTTCATGCTCCAGTCCTACAGCACACATTACAGTTTTAACCCCTTCTGACTAAAAACATCGTATATCTTCATGCTCCAGTCCTACAGGACACATTAGTTTTAACCCTTTCTGACTAAAAACATCATAGATCTTGATGCTCCAGTCCTCAGGACACATTAGTTTTAACCCCTTCTGACTAAAAACACTATAGGCCATCACATTTCAACCCTAAAGGTCACACTAAATGTTAAGACTTATTCTTTATGGCAACAAATCAAAAAGAACTCAGTTTGATAATTACAATTGTCTCTATTGGGAATAATAAGAGCACATTTCACAAACTGTCAATCACACTTCATTTATTTGGAAAGCGATAACTTTACATATCTTTAGAAATTATTAAAAATTATTAGATTTTAAAAGCTTATAATATCTATTTAAGTAAAACTGATCATTTTAAACAAATAACAACTGGATTTTAATATATCTCTAAATTTTGAACCACACACCAAAAACAATTCTAGATGTATTAAATATATGATTTTAACACTTGGCTTCTGAATATCCTGAACTTCTGCAACAAGAGAGAATTCAGTAAACGTGATGTATAAATATCTACAGTGAGAAGATTTCAACTGGCTTTGAGTAGACATGCACAACAAGATTTACATAATGCTTCATTGGTTAAGACTTTTGTAAGCAGTACCAGTAGATATCCTGCTAGAAGAGAAACAAGTGCTATAATACCAGTATTAAGATATAACTACCAAACAAGACAAGTGTGGGTGGTTATTTATGTAACTCGATTCCTTCTTTGACCTTCTCTATGGCAGCTCCAGTAACTTCATGAACCTGAAAGTTCCAAATAGATCTTGTCAACTTAAAAGGAAATAGTTTCTTTGAATGATATATAACAAAAATGGTTTTATATTCATTAAATATGTCAATAAACTGAGTTGGAATATCTTATCAAACCCATATCAAGAGCTGACTTACAAAACAAATTTTATCTAGGATTGAACATTGGAACCATTTTCCTTCTTAATTTCATCCGTGCATTACTGTAAAACAGACCCTGCTACTAGGTTTATTAAATACCAGGGCAAAATGGCAGAAGGCTATTCAAATTTGAACAACAAGTGCAATGTATCCTTAAAGACTCATGTGCTTATCCATTAAAACAAAAAATAATTACAAAGTATGAACCACAATACCTGACAAACAATTCTACAAAATATAGATTCACACAACCATAACCTGCCAAAGCAGCACCTTCCAAACACTAGTAAAAATTCACACAACCATAACCTGCCAAAGCAGCACCTTCCAAACACTAGTAAAAGTTCACACAACTATAACCTGCTAAAGCAGTACTCTTGAAAGTAAAAGTTCACACAGCCATAACCTGCCAAAGCAGTGTCTTCTAAACACTACTAAAAGTTCACACAACTATAACCTGCTAAAGCAGTACTCTTGAAAGTAAAAGTTCACACAACCATAACCTGCCAAAGCAGTGTCTTCTAAACACTACTAAAAGTTCACACAACCATATAAACATTTGTAATTCTGACTGAAAAACTAAAAATTAGTACACGCACACCCACCTTTTTCTTGTTCTTCAAAAAAATAAATGTTGGCATGCATGAGACACCATATTCTGTGGAAAGGTCCTGTAATGAAAGAAAGTTGTGTGTAATTCTGATAGCTGTCCAAAATACACCACACTTACAGCTGTTTTCACAGAAGGTTTTACATTTGTGTTGTAATAAACTAGGCTGATTTCTCAGTCTCAAAACTACAGATCTCTTTGATATTATGATCCTCCAATACTTGCTTTTTAAACATGTGGTACACTTAGACCACCAGACAAGTGAATGTAATGCTCCTGCGAGTCCCATCACAAATAAAACTGACTTACATAACGTTATGCATGGCTGCCAATGGATGTAATGTTTTGGGCTTCAAAAATTTTAAATTCAATTTGAGAAATAAGCAGCATGAGAAACATACATTACCTCATTATCATCCACATCCACTTTCAGGAACATTACCGTGTCTTTCTTCTCTACGGATAACTTCTGAAAATGAAGATAGTTTGTAAGAAGAAATTAAGACATTCACAGCCTACAATTTCAGGTATTCTACCTTAATATTTGAGACAAAATATTTAATTTCAAAGTCACAAATTACTTGAAGTGGGAGAGAATGACTCCCTCGTAGATTTGGGTAAACACTTAAGTTATTTCCTTACTTTTATCAAGTCGTCAAAGAAACAGTCTCACTTTAGGTTTTAAAACAAAATACCTAATTTCTTCATTAAAAAATATATATACAGTTTTTCACTTATGACTCTCGTTAGGAAACGGCCGTTTACTCTCACTCTTTCCATATGTAGCTTTACAACTACAGCCTATAATGACTTATTCAGCTTAATATATGACAAAAGATCAACTCACAACTTTGTAATGTTTGAAAAATAAACTTCCTGTTACAGCACTGGTTGCTAATTAAATTCCTTCTGTCATTTTCCTTCTTCCTGTTTTTCCCTTCATAAACTCCTTTACTATCATCCTTACACACATTTTGTACTACACAACCTCTTATTCCAGCAATTTGTACGTTTTCATCATACAAAATGCTGTATACTATACATTAGTATATCTTATGATTACTTTACAAATTATTAATTAAATTAATTGACACATTAAAGTGACAATTATCTATATTCACAAAACCAGTTGTCCTTGGATACGAGACAAACTGTTTGGGTTTCTAACTTACTTCCAACTGTGGTGCCATCGCTTTACATGGCCCACACCAGGTTGCATAGAAGTCTACTACAACTAGTTTCTCTCCAGCTTCTTCCAACTTGGCATTGAAGTCATCCTATATTTGTATGACAAATAAAGTACAATAAGTCAACTGTAATTTTAATATCTCACTTTTTTACTCTAACATTTAGAGTGAGTAACAGTGAGCCTAGGATGCCCCCACTGGGTAGATTACTTATATCCTGAGACCCTAGTGTTATATTATTATTGTAGTCATTTTTATGGAGTTTTGCCAGATTTTAGAAAGTTACTTACAAGAAAGCAATAGTTATAACAAACCTAATATTAATTATTAGGTTATTAGGATTTTATTCATGACTCATACATTTGCAAGGTCAATTAAGCCTAACTTCATGTCAAGGTTTGGTAGGAGCTATATCCATTTAATGTTGCTGTATTGTTTCAAAAAAGTAGGATATCTTAACATTTGTTTGTTTTTTTAATACAGCACATATTAGTGATACAATGGGGAAGTTTTATTTCTGTTGAAGAAATTAAAAGCAGTACATAGGTTTTTTTGTGTTTTTTAAACAAGAGAATGAGCCTTCAGTCACCTTGCTTTACCTGCATCCTTATTGCTGATTCAAAGAAATAGCTATAACCAGAATACTGATAACACTCGTATCACAGAACTATGAGCCTTGAAAATCTCTTGGTTTAAAGATAAATCATAAAACAAGTTGTGGTTTCTTGGAATGAGGTTACACGTCATTATTCCAAGAAAAACATTTGCATGATTAAAAATACAAAGAAAGAGAAACTAGTCTTATCTTCCTGGATTACTACACATCCCCCACTAACACGATACATACATTATCTTTCATTTCAACAATAATATACAATTTCAGACTTTCTCGATAATTTCACCCATAAAACGTAAATTCTACTCTTAAGCTAATTAATTACTGTCTTATTCAAATGGATGCTCTTTATAATTTGATACTATGTAAACAGCATTATCAAATAATGCAGGTTTAGAGGTTAAAGAAATGGCAGATACCTAATTATTGGACTAATTATGGCCTTCAGTTGTAACTTTGGACTGACATCACTTGGGGGGTGGGAAATTTTTAAATGTAGTATTACTATTAATATCATCGGCTAAACTATGTAACGAACTTTAAAGTATCAAGGTCTCAGTGTGAATCATAACCAAAAAAATAAGAATGTTAGATACATAACAATATAAGTATTATTTTACTAACATTAATAAAAATGTATAGTAATAAACTTCAGTTTGCATGAAAAAGTTAATAACAAATCTACTCCAAGTCAAAGTTCAGGTTGCTCTAGGCCTACTTACATTTTTCAAATTTTAAACTTATTTTTAATGCAGTATGTAGTATTACTATTAGAATTAATGACACAAGTGACAACTTAAGCTAGTGTTTCCCAAAGAGTATTCCATGGGGTCCGCGAGTCATGTCCGAAATTTCATAAAAATATTTTAAAAAATACGATTTATAAAATTAAAAAATATTCTTCGTAAAACTGAAATAATATGAATTAAAACATTTAATTTTGGAATACAGCTTTTCGTGTACACGGAACCTTTTTTCAAAACATTGATAAGTTTGGAGGTCCGGGAAAAATTTTTAAATTATAAGGAGGTCCCGTGTTAGTCTAAAGACCTCTAACTTAAAATGAAATTTAAATTAAATCCAAGATGGTCGGGTTCACTATTGCTACTAAATATTAATTATTATCATCTTCTACTGTTCTTGTCATGTACTTTATCGATTAGATCTCATTTCAAACGAATAATTCTGTGCTTCTTAATGCGGCTATACTGATTTTAAAATTAAAGTTTAAATTTAATAAGATTGTTACAATAAACGTAAAACATAAAATACCAACAATGTTGTCTTCGCTTACCTTATCTTTTACAGTATAAACCATTTTGGGTAAGTAATAAAAAATTTAAGGCTTCTGAATAAATACTTCTTTAAAACAGGAGATTTGAACAATTTATGTTAAAAATACCGAATCTGATTAACTGAAAGGACTCCTAAGTCTAAACACCGGTACGGCCTGAAACTTAAATGAACAACACAAAGACGAGCGTTTAAGAAGGTTCCTAATACGTGTCTCAGTCACGTGACTTACACGTACGTTCAGATTGGGAAATCCACATCGTGATTGAAATTACCCCTACCATGTGTAACATTGATTTCATATTTGAAGTAGGAAATTTTTTAAAGAATATGTAGAAAACAGATCGTCAGTCATGTTCTTGAAATGTATTTAAAGTTAACAGTAAATTTTCTGGCTCGTCTGACTAAAATCCTTTTTCCTATTGGCTCATATGTCAAGTGGTTAATGACGTGGCGTGCCTACAGATGATGTACAACACCACTATGTGGCAACCACTTGTAATAGGGTAAAAGAATGAGTCAGCGATTTTTCTCGATTTCTGCTGTTTTCAGAAGCAGCAAATCAGAGAATAGATCAATCTTCTCGTCATTCACGGATACTTGCTTTTTTCATTTAAATTACACATTTCAGCCCAGACAAGAAAAATTCACAATTAAAACCGGGTAATGTTTCAAAGTTTTTGTTGTTGTTTTTTACACAGCGTAGGCGTAGTAGAGTTTTAATATAAACAAAAGGTCAGAAACACAGCTTTTGAGTGGAGTATCATCATTTCGTTTTTAACTTCCTAACAATCTTTCGACCATTCATTCGTATGTTTATCATCATAAGGTAAACTGGCCATGAACTATCCTGGGACTGTGATGAAGTGGAGTCGAAAGTGGTCGAAGCGTTGTTATAAATTTTAAAAACCATGTTTCTGGACTTTTATTTAAAGTAAACAGTGGATCTTCTCTCCTCACGGCCCGGCGTGGCCAGGTGATTAGGGCGCTCGACTCACAATCTGAGGGTCGCGGGTTCGAATCCCCGTCACACCAAAGCATGCTCGCCCTTTCAGCCGTGGGGGCATTATAATGTGACGGTCAATCCCACTATTCGTTGGTAAAAGAGTAGCCCAAGAGTTAGCGGTGGGTGGTGATGACTAGCTGCATTCCCTCTAGTCTTACACTGCTAAATTAGGGACGGCTAGCGCAGATAGCCCTCGTGTAGCTTTGCGCGAAATTCAAAAACAAACAAATTCTCACAACAAATAGTAGATTTTTGTCTTTAATGAACCATTCGTGGCTGAAGAAAGCCGAAATGTCGTCCCGCAAATGACAGGTCTCAGTACAGCAGAAACCTCTGTCATAATTACCTTTTCCAAATACTCTATTGGATAACCCTACCAGTACTGCAGAGACACCGTTTTTTTAAGACCTAGTTGTTCAATGTATTTTATACATATATATCCCTCCAAGATAAGGAGAATGGAGATGTCATGTCACTCTCTCGTTCTTTTAAGTTGGATTTTCACCAAAGGCACTACACACATTTCTTACGCAGTTAATGTCAAGTTTGCAACGGTTGCTAGAGTTCTGTCTCGAGCAAGATTCAGCTCAGTTGTTGCCTTAATTGTTGCTTGTCATCATGACTCATTTAACGATCGCAGCGACGAAGACAAGCAGGAAAAAAACGAAACATCATCACAAACTAACAGTTCAATCGCACATTATTAGTTGCAGGGGCGTCGCTAGCTTCCAAAATGGTTTGGGGTTATGGCCACAAGAAGCAGCTACTGCTCAAAGTAACTCAAACATAACTGCAATGTAATATACTATAGTTTACAGAAGATAGAGTCGGGGTACAAACACAACTAATGAAAGTAGAATGTATGTTTAACATGTATGAAAGTAATAAGCTCAAAATTAGAATTTTATCATTAGAATAGTTTGGGTGAATTGATAGAACTGTTTTGATGTATCTATAGAATAGTTTGGGTGTATTGATAGAACTGTTTTGATGTATTTATGGAATAGTTTGGGTGTATTGATAGAACTGTTTTGATGTATCTATAGAATAGTTTGGGTGTATTGATAGAACTGTTTTGATGTATTTATGGAATAGTTTGGGTGTATTGATAGAACTGTTTTGATGTATTTATAGAATAGTTTGGGTGTATTGATAGAACTGTTTTGATGTATTTATAGAACAGTTTGGATGTATTGATAGAACTGTTTTGATGTATTTACAGAATAGTTTGGGTGTATTGATAGAACTGTTTGATGTATTTATAGAATACTTTGGGTGTATTGATAGAACTGTTTTGATGTATTTATAGAATAGTTTGGGTGTATTGATAGAACTGTTTTGATGTATTTATAGAACAGTTTGGATGTATTGATAGAACTGTTTTGATGTATTTATAGAATAGTTTGGGTGTATTGATAGAACTGTTTGATGTATTTATAGAATACTTTGGGTGTATTGATGCAATAGTTTTAATGTATTTATAGAATAGTTTGGGGCTATAATGCTTGAACTACTGTTTTGTACTTTTTCAGTTTAATGATCATTGCCGCTATAATGCTTGAACTACTGTTTTGTACTTTTTCAGTTTAATGATCATTGCCGCTATAATGCTTGAACTACTGTTTTGTACTTTTTAAGCAATGATCATTAAACTGAAAAAGTACAAAACAGTAGTTCAAGCATTATAGCGGCAATGATCATTAAAGAGAAAAAGTACAAAA